GGAAATTATTAGGATTTGGACAAAACGCAAGTGAAATTATTCCCTAATTTCACGAGTATACCATTTGATTACCTATTAATATCATGGGTGATGAATTATGTTAGCAATCTTGGATTTTTGACATGTTTATCCTGGCTCGTATCGATTGAGAACTCCACTCTCTCAAATGTTTAGACCTTAAGTTTTGGTTATAAAGTTCAGAATTTTTCAGACCTTTTCGAAAAAATACCTGTTAGAATCCTTCTTGATGTTCTCTTGTGTGTTCAAGTTTTCTAAAGCGTCTTTTTGTGCCATGACATCTTCATTCACGGCATTTTAAAACTTCATCGCCATCTTGACACTGAGACGTACGGGAGGGTTGCCATAGCAATTTTGTAATTTCACATGTGAAATTACAAATTAATGCTGAAATTTCACGCCAAAATTAAGGAGTAATTCATCACCTATGATATTACAAGTGTAATTCGTCACCCATAATATTAGTATAGGTAATCGCATGATTAGTAAATATGATATTTGGCATAAATACCATGAGTGATATTTCAAAATTGTTATACGCACTTGTAATAATATTGCAAGTGAAATTTGAGACAATTTTGAAATGTCACGAGTGGTATGTACATGTATGCCAGAGATCATGCACAAATCATGCTATTATTTGTTTATACTACTACTGCTCTATTACTCTAAGCCACTCAATAGGTAATAAAAATAATGGTATACTCCAGGAATTAGATGGAATAATATTATTTCTCTTGTGTTTTGTCCAAATTCTAATACTATCCCTTGCCTAAAGGCTCAGGTAATTATTAGGATTTGGTCAAAACACACGTGAAATAATTTCCCAATTTCATAACAACAGATTAGTTTGAAAATCCACTTTTTATCTACAAAGTATCCCTCATCTAAAGGTTTGGGTAATTATCAGTATTTGGTCAAAACACGTGAAATAATTTTACCATTTGATTACACATACTACTTTCACATCATCAGATCAGCGTGAAAATCCACTTTTGATCTATGTGAATTTATTAGGAATTTAATAAACAGTTTGTCTTACAGTGCTTCTGTAATTTGAATTCCACCAGAAATACAAAACTGATGCACCCTGCAGTGCTTTCGTGAGTGAATATAGAGCATATGTCCGGCAAACATCCACCTTTAACACACAGCTTTGTTTTGTACAAATTAAGCCATAATTTAATTTTTATGGAAGTTCTTATTCTTTAAAAAGTTGGGTCAGTTCAAGTCAATTTTTATCAGTGATATTTTCTTTTAGTGATGGACTGGTCATTTCATCATACTTGGCAGTCTTGACAAAGAAGAATAGTATAGCAACCTGAAGGACAATCAGAAAACAAGATCAGCAAGGAAGAGACAACAGCTCTGAAGACATGGTAAACAACTCTTCTAACTTTCTTGCAGTTTAATTACAGTAATACTGTATGTTGTGTGCATAATTATACCATGTACTGTGACATAAAATTAATGTACTCCATTTATTACCGCCCTTGATTAAAGGCCACAGATAGAAGCAAAATTTCAATTAACGCTAGGCTTAAAAAAAATACTTAGCCCAGTCAGAAGAAAGGGTGTTTATTTGGGGATTTTGAGAACATAAATTAATAACAAGTACGTTATAGCTGGGTAATCTATCACAAGCCAAACAGTTATGATTCTGTGCTAAGACAATGGAATTTATAAGATCAGTCGGTCTATGAAAAGGTGAGTCAATTATCAACCAGTCTTTCAGTCAGTGATATATCTGCCAAACAACACTAAATGTTTTTTCAACATCAAAGACAAACAATTACATACTGTTTTTCCCACAAATAGCGGGCATTAATCTAGACAGGTAGAGCAATCTAGCCTGTTGAAACAAAAGCATAAAATGATATATTATACAGTCAAAATAAGCTTAATATTACTTTAACTCAACATAGATAATAAAGAACTAATTAAATAGTTGAATATGAATTACAGATTTTGATTGTTAGAAATAAACAAATTAAACAGCCATTAATTTATCCTCCCTTGAATAGTTCTTTCAAAATTGTTACATGTTTAAAAAATTGGGAGATTTCAAATTTCAAAGTTTACATATGAATGATGTCAGCAATTAATGTGGTGTCTTAATCTGGCATTTTGATGTCAAAATATATGCCCATTTTATTGCCTCAATATTTTTATCTTAAGGCCAAGTTTGGTAAGGAAAGATTATTGTAAATTAACCAAAATTGTCCTCTGAGTATCTATCCTTTTTCTCAAGAAGAATGGAACAATTTGCCAGCTTCTGTCTTCAGCAAACACTGCTCTTTAGATACTTTCAAAGTCCATGTAAGTTGCCTAACGTATCTACCTGTTTATAACCCTATTAAGTTAACTTTTTTCTTTTTCTTTTTCTTTAATTATTTATTTATTGATTGATTTGTTTGGTTTGCTGACCAACCTAACCAATAATCAAATGTGAGGGGTAGGCTGTACATGGTTAGCCAGTCAGTTAGAAAATCCACAAGCCCTAGGATTTCACAGTAATGATTGTTTCTGGTACCGTGTCGTTACCGTGATCTTAAAATAACAGAATGGAAAAATGGTTTTCCAGTGACAAATCCTGATATATTTAGACGGAGGGATCAAAATACACAAATATAGTATTTTTCCACTTGGATTCTTAACTAGTAGAGCAATTCTTTATGACTCAGCTTGTGTATATACGAAATTAAAAAAAAAATGATACCGTTTTTCTATCGTCCACCATCTTGAATCATTCCCAAAGTGCATTGCATGTTACTGATAACTCACGCATGAAAGATGTTTTACAGTTAACAACAGCAATTGTTATGGCTTCCAGTGCCAAGAAAAAAAATAAGACTCCAAAATTTTTAAAACATTCAGAAGGTGGTCTTTTAGTGATAATTTCACTATTGAAACTGATGATGAGGCCCATAGCTCATTACGAAAACACAAGATCTGTAGCGAACATTTTTCTTCTTCCTTTTCTTTAGTTGGATCCAAGAGGTGTCTGGAGTTTTTGACATGTTAGTGCACACACATTTAACACTTAAATTGGCCTTCTTTGGACATTTTAATAGACATTAAAGTTTTTGTTAAAAAATAGTACACTCTGATGTTCTTTAATTTTAAAGTATGTTTAACAACATGTTTCTATTCATTGAAAGACATACAAAAGTGGGTCACCATGAATTTTCACAGAACTAAAAAATTGTTACAGATAGTTTCCCTGATCTCTGGGCACGGAACCAAAAAATTGTTATCCATGGGATTTGAAATCCTAGGGCTTGGTGACTAGGTGACTTGGGTGACTAGAGTAACCAGGGTGACTTGGGTGACTCTAGTGACTAGGCTGATTAGGGTGACTTGGGTGACTAGAATGAATTGGGTTAGTAGCGTGACTAGGGTGACTTGGTTGACTGGGGTGACTTGAGTGACTAGGGTGACTAGGGTGACTTGTGTAACTAGGATGACTTGTGTGACTTGCATGACTTGTGTGACTAGGATGACTTTGGTTACCTGGGTGACTAGGGGTTACCAGGGTGACTAGGGTGACTAGGATTACTAGGGTGACAGCAGTGACTTGTGTTACTCAGTTGACTAGGGTGACTTGGGTGACCAGGGTCCCTAGGGTGACTTGGTTGACTAGAGTGACTTGCATGACTAGGGTGACTAGAGTGACTTGGTTTGCTAGTGTGACTAGGGTGACTAGGGGTGACTTGGGTGACTACCCAGGTAAAAAGTCAGGCGGGATCCCGCTAATCCCACCTGGGATCCCGGGTGGGATTAGCGGGATCCCGCCTCTAATGGCGGGATCCCGCCATTCCCACCTGGGATTAAAAATTAATCCCACCTGGGATCCCGCCTAAAACACGGGATTATCACATCCCACCTGGGATCCTGGGTGGGATCCACACATCCCACCCGGGATCCTGGGTGGGATTCACATATCCCACCTGGGATCACACATTGTCACCCAGGATCTTTACATACATCCCACCTGGGAACATTGGGATAATTTCACATGTACGATCCCACCTGGGATTTTAGAAGAGTTATTCATACTTGCAAAAGTTAAGTCAAACTTAATTAAGAAGACTTTTAACAGCCATGTAGGTTATATATAATTATGTGTTAAACATATCTTAGCAAGCAGTCTAATTAACTTATTATTCTACATTTCTGCATGTGGAGTTAAAAATACGGCTGGAATTTATCGTCTTCCTGTACCCAATTTAATTTCAAAGGACAACTTATTGTATTAAATTACAAATGTTTTTTTATAAGCAGAAAATGACACCATCGTTCATAAATTGTCCCGTACATACATGTAAAAATGACTTTCAACAAAACAATATTTATTTTATACAAACACACAAAAAGCATACTTCCACCGTAAAAAGCAGTGTTTAAAACTAAAAAACTTAAAAATCATTTACTACGATTTTTTTTGTGCTTGCAGATAGTTTCTTAGTGAGAAGATTTTTGTAAAGCATTAATGAATCGCTACATCCATCATTCCTGACTTAACTATCCTTTCTAGCTTTTCCCTAGAGTTTCTTCACTTGAAATGATACCTCCATGCATCATTTTCTTCTTTTATATTAGCTTCGATCCTTCGTCTTGATTATGGACGACTCCTGAATAGAAATTCATGGTCAAAACTGCGAAACGCTAGCTGCAGTCCTCGGGTAGTACTTGGTGTAAGACTGCCCAAAATGTCCCGGGCCACCGCCCACCACTGTCAGTGCTGTAGTGGCTGTACCCTAGTAGACACAATGATACCTGTAGTGGCTGTAGTAGCTGTAGTAGCCGTAGTAGCTGTAGTACCTGTAGTACCTGTAGTACCTGTAGTAGCCGTAGTACCTGTAGTACCTGTAGTAGCTGTAGTACCTGTAGTAGCTGTAGTAGCTGTAGTACCTGTAGTAGCTGTAGTAGCTGTAGTAGCTGTAGTAGCCGTAGTACCTGTAGTAGCTGTAGTACCTGTAGTACCTGTAGTAGCTGTAGTAGCTGTAGTAGCTGTAGTACCTGTAGTAGCCGTAGTAGCTGTAGTAGCTGTAGTACCTGTAGTACCTGTAGTAGCTGTAGTAGCTGTAGTAGCTGTAGTAGCCGTAGTACCTGTAGTAGCTGTAGTACCTGTAGTACCTGTAGTAGCTGTAGTAGCTGTAGTAGCTGTAGTACCTGTAGTAGCCGTAGTACCTGTAGTAGCTGTAGTACCTGTAGTACCTGTAGTAGCTGTAGTAGCTGTAGTAGCTGTAGTACCTGTAGTAGCCGTAGTAGCTGTAGTAGCTGTAGTACCTGTAGTACCTGTAGTAGCTGTAGTACCTGTAGTACCTGTAGTAGCTGTAGTAGCCGTAGTAGCTGTAGTAGCTGTAGTACCTGTAGTACCTGTAGTAGCTGTAGTACCTGTAGTACCTGTAGTAGCTGTAGTAGCTGTAGTAGCTGTAGTAGCCGTAGTACCTGTAGTACCTGTAGTAGCTGCAGTAGCCGTAGTAGCTGTAGTAGCTGCAGTACCTGTAGTAGCCGTAGTACCTGTAGTACCTGTAGTAGCCGTAGTAGCTGTAGTAGCTGTAGTAGCTGTAGTAGCTGTAGTACCCGTAGTAGCTGTAGTACCTGTAGTAGCTGTAGTACGTGTAGTAGCTGTAGTAGGTGTAGTAGGTGTAGTACCTGTAGTACCTGTAGTAGCCGTAGTAGCTGTAGTAGCTGTAGTAGGTGTAGTACCTGTAGTAGCCGTAGTAGCTGTAGTAGCTGTAGTAGGTGTAGTACCTGTAGTAGCCGTAGTAGCTGTAGTACCTGTAGTACCTGTATTACCTGTAGTACCTGTAGTAGGTGTAGTAGCTGTAGTACCTGTAGTACCTGTATTACCTGTAGTACCTGTAGTAGGTGTAGTACCTGTAGTAGCTGTAGTAGCCGTAGTACCTGTAGTACCTGTAGTAGCTGTAGTAGCTGTAGTAGCTGTAGTAGCCGTAGTAGCTGTAGTATCTGTAGTACCTGTAGTAGGTGTAGTACCTGTAGTAGCCGTAGTAGCTGTAGTACCTGTAGTACCTGTAGTACCTGTAGTAGCTGTAGTACCTGTAGTAGCTGTAGTAGCTGTAGTACCTGTAGTAGCTGTAGTACCTGTAGTACCTGTAGTAGCTGTAGTAGGTGTAGTACCTGTAGTAGCTGTAGTAGCTGTAGTAGCCGTAGTAGCTGTAGTAGCTGTAGTACCTGTAGTAGCCGTAGTAGCTGTAGTACCTGTAGTAGCTGTAGTGCCTGTAGTACCTGTAGTAGCTGTAGTATCTGTAGTACGTGTAGTATCTGTAGTAGCTGTAGCAGGTGTAGTAACTGTAGTAGCTGTAGTAGGTGTAGTAGGTGTAGTAGCTGTAGTAGGTGTAGTAGCTGTAGTAGCTGTAGTATCTGTAGTACGTGTAGTATCTGTAGTAGCTGTAGTAGGTGTAGTAGCAGGTGACAAATGATCTATTTGGTATCGACCTTGTTCAATCAGAAGTTTGTGATTACTTATTTTAAACTGGACCAAAATGTTGTCATTCATCATAATGTCTTAGCTGGTAGAGATAATCAGTTGTAGAATATTCATATTTAAAAGTTTTATAAAATTCCATTTTTTTTTTAATTTTCAAGACTGTGTCGCAAAAAAGATAGCGGATATTTCTCTCTCATTTCTGTGGTATATCGTCCAATTTAATCATTATCTAAAGATTCTGTATCTAAACTGGTTAGATTGTATTGTTCAAACATGTTTATGAATTTGCAATAATATCCGAAATTATTCATAGAATGTACATTCTTTGACATAAGGAAAGACTGTTTGATTATAGAGTCTTTATCGTTGGTGGTTCGATAAACAAAATACTTCATAATGTTTTGATTTCTCGGGATAAGCAGCGGCAATCTACCAAGTTTAGCTCTGCAAGCTATGTTAGAGGCCTTATTGTTTACTTGTGAATAACGTTTAAAGAATTTTAGGTGAATTTTTTCTATTGGGGATCTATCCCATTTTTTTAAAATCTTGCTCGGTGCACATCCCCCTTGCCTCGCTGTTGTAAGTTAAGATGGGGAATATCCAGTGAATATCCTTGTGTCAAGAATTTGGGATTAGGTATCAGGATTAAGTTTATTAAGAACTGTCGTGTTTGCTTCCGAATACTAGGAAACGCCTGCAGGGCCTTCTCTTTTATATTAGTTACCATTGTTTATTTGAGGTGGCCAGGAGCCCATCAAGGCTTATAACAGTTTTCCGATGACACCATTGTCTTTTCGAACTTGGACATTTTTTACAACTAAAGGCATTCACTGGACTGAATTGAAGTAATTAAGCTTGTAAAAACATTTTTAATGCGTAGTATAACGCGAAATATAGTGGCCAAGCACCCCAAAAGAGGACTGGAAACTAGATCTGGGCTGGATGGGAAGGCAATGTAATAAGATGACAAGACACCCAAGACACAAGCAATGCCAAAAATTCAGAGGGCAGTCGCAGCGCAGCGCTGGACTTTCTCTACTTCATCAATCGCTAACGGAGGTGTAGCGCTCTATTAAACTTGCTGAATGGAGAGCTCGCCTTCACTTTGAACACGTAATTGTTTCTACATGAGTCAATCAGGTGGGTATAGAGCGGGCAAGCCAATATTCCTATTGTAGAAGAGAGACGCCCACTAGATATGGAGGAACTCACTTATTTTGTTTGCAGGAAATTACTTTTTTAACTGGTTATAATAATGGGTGATGTCATGAACGAGAAGTGTAGGAGCTGCTTGCAAGGTCTTTCATAATTGGAGGCGGGAAACAAAGACAAGTCATTCTTTTAGGTCAGGGTTAGGTACCACTGGACCCTCTTGAACTAGATCCTTGCGCATGTTAATACTAGGGAACCCACCAACAGGGCTTGTCTTTCAACATAGTACACTACTCTAGCCCAACAATACTACCAAGTGTGGAATAGCTGAACTTTTCTAGCCCGAAAGTGCCTCAAATCTCAACCAATAGATACAGTTGTTCCATAACCTACCTAAGGATCAAAGGCTTTGATATAGACAGGGAAAAGTGATTTAAAGGTGGCTTAGTTAACGTCATTTATTATGGTGTGATTTCTTATTCTTAAATTTCTTCACCTTTGGTCGAGTTAACGTACTTCTTCATACCAAAAGCTTCATCGTGCCATGTCCGCTTTAATTTTTGAGTATTAGGCGGTTCTGGGCGAAAGGGGAAGAGATAAGGTTGAGAAGGCCTGATACTCAGTCTACGTCTGCTTATATACTGGTCTGTCAACATACAAGAACAACAACAACAATAAGCTTTATTTTCACAGCCATAAAAAAGTTTCAGCTTCAACAGAATTCCATCAGTCATAAACAGAGCTGAACAGAAACAGAAACTCAAACTTTTCATTCAAAACGTTTTTATCACCTACAAAGCCAGTTCAAATGTTTACAGTTTTTATTACCAATATATCGTGAAATGAGGTTTTTAAAATTACCTTGACGCGTTACTTCTCTCATATATTTTACTGACGTCAAACGTGAATTTGCACTTCTCTCATAACTCCTTTTGCTTAAATGACCGATTCAAATCACTCAGAAACCCTCTTTAACCTCTTCTTCCCACAACAAAGAATGACGAGGAATTGACAAAAAAGGATGAATTTGATGCATACGGAAGTTACAGGAACTTCTTCCGACAACTACTATTTATAACGAATGCGTTACTTGTTGTACTCAGTTACCCATGTTCTCCATTTATTTTAAGTGTAAAAGCGTATTTACAAGCTCCCAGGAAGTCTTAGCCATGTCCAAGGGTGACGTCACACACAACAGAGCTTCGAGTTCCTCTCTTCGACTTTTCGTCGGGGACAGCTCTCAATCACCGACACTGTCCAAAAGGATCCAATCGAAACTGTGGGGACGAGAATACTGCCTGGCCCTTAGCCTGAAACATTGCAATCGTTAATTTGAACAGTCTTTCATCCCTTACAGTAAAATACTCAGGGCCCTGGCTTGCCTTTCGTGGGATGTTTGAAATAAGAAGAAGTGTATGTTTTTCCATCATGGAAAGTAGCCAATCTAGATGATGTCTATTTTTCTTTCGTGAACAGTGGTTGTTAACTTGATAACGCGATTTCCAATTCTTTTTTTTCGTTTAGTATTTTTAACTTCGCGGACACCTGTGACTGTTTTTTCCTCCTTAACGCATAATTGTTATCTTTGAAAAATTTTTGAGTCCGTCACGTAATTAAATAAGGCTGTGATATTTTCTACCGATGGCGTCACTATAGTGGCTTCTATGAGGGAGGTGACACAGAAGAGAAGACAAGTCTCGTGATTAGTCCATGGGCCATCTACAGGATGTGCGCCTTGTAAGGACAAATACTCAGCGCTTTTTCTTTTCTTGCACGGTGATGGACGCTCACGCTTACGTTTGAGTTGGGTAGGACTGGATACTGTTTTTTCATTACCCCTTTTAAGTTTCCTCAGGTTAGAATTTCCACAGTTAAAGCAGCTGCACTCTAACCCACATTCTTGGTTCACACGCAAACATGGGCATTTCGACTTCCTAGGGCCATCTCGGCAGGAAACGTACTTATTATCGTATTTTACTTTGTTGTGGCCACATTTGCAAGATACTTCAATAGTGTATCCAAGTTCACTCGTAGAAGAGCAAGCAGCCTGCATGGTTGAGTTTTGACACCTTTTGCATCTACAATTGCTGGAACAAAAATGTCCCGAAATCACGCAGGGACAATGGCTGTGTCCTTGGTCGTCCTTTGTACAAGACGCCTTTTGGCCATCCTTGGCATTGTTCTTTCCACAAGAGCATACTTTATTGGTAGTTTTTGAGTTAAGTCCTTGGAAACAGAAAAAACAAAACAAAAAAAAGGTGAAATTAGTAAAGGGTGAAAGCCTCAGGGGCACCCAACAACTGTCTCCTTTAAAGTACGTTGGAAACACTTTTTACGCTGTCCAGAGTTTTCTTTTCTGCGCCCTAGAAATGCATTCTAAGCGGCAATACAAAATTGTTATCGTTTAGGTCATTAGAGTTTCCCACAAGCAGGCCACAAGTTGCTCGGCAACTTTTCGGCAACTTCTCGTATTTCGAACAACTTCTTTCCTATATAGCAACTATTGGCTTTTTATTAAGATTTCTCTAGAACTTTGTCATCTAACTCTGTGATATCGGAGCAGCTCTTAGTGTTTAAATTAGTCTTTGTTCCATATTTCACAATGTTTTGTATACAAGTTGCAAATTACCAGTAGAAAAAAAAGAGACAAATACTCCTCCCTGAGGCACATTAAGGGCGCAAGATAAGTCTGCGGTCTTTACAGAAAATTTTAAATGATTGACGCAGATTCTCACTCGACTGACTCGAGTGTCTCCAGGTGAAGAAAGTCATTAAGCATTTTTTCTTGGCTCATTACATTTCTTTCTTGATTTTAACTCCGGACAAAGTTATTAAGCAAAGCTGGTTGCGCTGAAAAATTGCACAAAAATGCTAAGAAATGGTACTTTTGTTTGTACAATTTGCATATTTTCATAACTTCAGACCAAACAAACATTTTGTTTTTCGAGCAACTTTTGAGTAAGTTTTGTTGCAATAAGCAACTTTTGATTGTTTTTGGCAACTTTTGAGCATTTGTTTGAGAAATAATGAGAAACTTTTTGGAAAATCTCGAACAACTTATGGAAAGCCCTACCGGTCTGTCCGGTCATCCTAGAGGAACTTAAGTCAGTTTTCAAAATTACAAAGGCTTCAGTGTTACTTTTTCGAAAATTTTAGTTGCAATTTAACGATTTACGAAAGTGATGATTTTTCTGGTTACCTCTCCCCATCACATTTTAGAATCCAAAAAAAATAAAATAAAAGAAAAATATTGTAACGTGGGAACTGATTTTGAAACATTAAAAATCAGAATTCGTAGGAATTTATTAGGTATAAAGCATCGAAAATTGTTTATGAATGGAAGGTCCATCTAGAAATTTTTAGTCTTCCTCAAGCAAAAGAAAATTCTTGGCAATATTTGCTTCTCCGAACAGATATTTCGCAGAAAATTGTCTTTGGGTGCCCCTGGTAGCCTCGCCGGGTCAATTTTGTGCAATTGAGCATGGGACACCCCAGTCGTAAGAACAAGAGCGGTCGCGTAAAAAGATAAAAGCTAGAAAATATTTCTATATATCACTAACTTGATCAAATGTGTGTGAACCTTGACGTTCCTTTCATAAGCTTGTGCAAATCGTACTTTGTAGAAGGTTCCATTCAGGACTCACATACCTACATTTATATTCTATATATTCTCTCGCCCATTAAATCGACGGTAGTTTATATTAATCCCTTTGAGTATGGACTCGGTTTCACTGGCTTACTCCTAATAATCCTCCAAGTTTGGTCGATTGACTAAATCGATAAGCCCGTTGAACCCGAAATAATGCGAAATAGCTTTGAAGCCCGCTTAAGCTAATTTTCGGCAAAAATGTATACTCAACAGCTTTCGTATTTTTATTCATCAAATTTTTATAATACGCATTGGCCACTCTGCTGCTAATAACGATCCCATGAACCTCATATTGCTGGGTCTAGATTCCTTCATGTTGCGGTGCAGCCGCACTTGAAAGTGAGACTAGTCGATATGAATGCTTGGAAAATTGGCTGGAAGGTAGAAAGGAATCTTTACAATTCCTTACACCACTGGACGCCCCTACTAAGGCTGCTACAGCTACTACACCTACTACAGCTACTACACCTACTACAGACACTACAGCTACTACAGTTACTACACCTACTACAGCTACTACAGTTACTACACCTACTACAGCTACTACAGGTACTACACCTACTACAGGTACTACAGCTACTACAGCTACTACGGCTACTACAGCTACTACAGCTACTACAGCTACTACAGCTACTACGGCTACTACACCTACTACAGCTACTACAGCTACTACAGCTACTACAGCTACTACAGCTACTACAGCTACTACGGCTACTACAGCTACTACAGCTACTACAGCTACTACAGGTACTACACCTACTACAGGTACTACAGCTACTACAGCTACTACAGCTACTACACCTACTACAGCTACTACAGCTACTACAGCTACTACAGGTACTACAGCTACTACAGCTACTACAGGTACTACACCTACTACAGCTACTACAGCTACTACAGCTACTACGGCTACTACAGCTACTACAGCTACTACAGCTACTACAGCTACTACGGCTACTACACCTACTACAGGTACTACAGCTACTACAGCTACTACAGCTACTACAGCTACTACAGCTACTACGGCTACTACAGCTACTACAGCTACTACAGCTACTACAGGTACTACACCTACTACAGGTACTACAGGTACTACAGCTACTACAGCTACTACAGCTACTACACCTACTACAGCTACTACAGCTACTACAGCTACTACAGGTACTACAGCTACTACAGCTATTACGGCTACTACAGCTACTACGGCTACTACAGCTACTACAGGTACTACGGCTACTACAGCTACTACAGGTACTACAGGTACTACAAGTACGACAGCTACTATCGCTACTACGGCTACTACAGCTACTACAGCTACCACAAGTACTACAGCTACTACAGCTACTACAGCTACTACAACTACTACGGCTACTACAGGTACTACAGCTACCACAGGTACTACACCTACTACAGCTACTACAGCTACTACAGGTACTACAGGTACTACAGCTACTACAGCTACTACGGCTACTGCAGCTACTACAGGTACTACAGGTACTACAGCTACTACAGCTACTACAGCTACTACAGGTACTACAGCTACTACAGCTACTACAGGTACTACGGGTACTACAGGTACTACAGCTACTACAGCTACTACAGGTACTACAGCTACTACAGCTACTACGGCTACTACAGCTACTACAGCTACTACAGCTACTACAGCTACCACACCTACTACAGGTACTACAGCTACTACAGCTACTACAGGTACTACAGCTACTACAGCTACTACGGCTACTACAGGTACTACAGGTACTACACCTATTACAGGTACTACAGGTACTACAGGTACTACAGCTACTACGGCTACTACAGCTACTACAGGTACTACACCTACTACAGGTACTACGGGTACTACAGGTACTACAGCTACTACAGCTACTACAGGTACTACAGCTACTACAGCTACTACGGCTACTACAGCTACTACAGGTACTACAGCTACTACGGCTACTACACCTACTACAGCTACTACAGCTACTACAGCTACTACAGGTACTACAGCTACTACAGCTACTACAGCTACTACAGCTACTACAGGTACTACGGCTACTACAGCTACTACGGCTACCACACCTACTACAGGTACTACACCTACTACAGCTACTACAGGTACTACAGGTACTACAGCTACTACAGCTACTACGGCTACTACACCTACTACAGGTACTACAGCTACTACAGCTACTACAGCTACTACAGCTACCACAGGTACTACAGCTACTACAGCTACTACAGCTACTACAGGTACTACAGGTACTACAGCTACTACAGCTACTACGGCTACTACAACTACTACAGGTACTACAGCTACTACAGCTACTACAGGTACTACAGGTACTACAGCTACTACAGCTACTACAGCTACTACAGCTACTACAGCTACTACAGCTACTACAGCTACTACAGGTACTACAGCTACTACAGCTACTACAGCTACTACAGGTACTACAGGTACTACAGCTACTACAGGTACTACAGCTACTACAGCTACTACAGCTACTACAGCTACTACAGCTACTACAGCTACTACAGGTACTACAGCTACTACAGCTACTACGGCTACTACAGCTACTACAGGTACTACAGGTACTACGGCTACTACAGGTACTACAGGTACTACAGGTACTACAGGTACTACAGGTACTACAGCTACTACAGGTACTACGGCTACTACAGCTACTACAGGTGCTACTACAGCTACTACAGCTACTACAGGTACTACAGGTACTACAGCTACTACAGCCACTACAGGTATCATTGTGTCTACTAGGGTACAGCCACTACAGCACTGACAGTGGTGGGCGGTGGCCCGGGACATTTTGGGCAGTCTTACACCAAGTACTACCCCAGTCCTCGGTGTTTGTCAGCCATTTTGTTTCCACTAGTTCCCAGGGAAGCCCGTGAGTTCAACACATGCGTATTCAGCGTTTTATCGTCACATGGGCCTTTTCAACCAATGAAAAGGTGTGAAAATTGGCTGATTCCACGCGGGCACTTTCAAGTCAAAGAAGACGAACTGTAAAGCATGCGTCTTTACAAGAAGACGCTTCTTTTTACTTCAATTTAAAGTCGTTTTCCTGCCAGGTTCAACAAAAAGTATTCCTAACGTTGGTAAGTGATGTTTTTCTCAATTTGAGTTTCGATTTACCCGTGTTGTCTCCCCTTTTCGCGTACCTGAAGAAGTTGGATCGGTCACCTTCGATCACGCTTCGATACTCGTTCGTTTCAATTCTAAAACGTCAGGTTGTGTTTGTGTTCATTTGCCTTAAAATCTCAACTTTTCTGTTTGCAGATACTTATTCGTTGCAGTCAAAAGAAAAGTGTATGGCACTGAAGAGCACGACATCAGCCAAAAGTCTACACGATAAGCAAATTAAGCAAACTTCAACTTGGGGTTTGGATGAAACTGCTCCATGAAAATACTGCATTTGTGTTGTGTGTTCGTGGTATTATATTGCTATAGTTTTGGACAATCTCATTCCAAAAGAGGTTCAGCGCATCTCAAACATCAAGGGGATGAACGGCAAAACTCCCTTGAACCAATGGTCCTGGCAGCCATTAATAAAGGTAATGTATTTCTCTACTTTTATTTAATACCAGACAGACTGGCCTACCACAATTATAATTGTTGCATTTAATTGTAATTACTTGTGAGTAGTGTCTATAATTTTAAAAAAATAATAACAAATTTGGCTTCAACAGAACTGTAATAATTCCCTTGCAGTAATGCATGTTGCCTATAAAAATAAAGACTATAGATTACAGCAAAGACAATGTTAATTTTCTGACCTGGGAATTTGCTCTATAACCATGCAAATTATATACCCTTATAAATATATACCTAGCTATAAGCATATTATTTATGATAATTCTAATAAAATATTTTTAATCTGTAGGACAACTAAAAAGACAATTCAAGTGGAGTGACGAGGAGTTGGAGAAGAACTGGGGAGGAAAGACTGGTGTCCAGCAAAAAATTGCTGATAAGTGCAGAAACTTAAATAAAGCCAGCAACAAGACAAACTGATGAAATTGACATTATTTTTCATATATTTCTACCATTTCTACATGTATAATCAACTGGTTTTTTTTTTCAAAAGATTTAATCACATATTTGAATGTTCTGCAATGACTGAATATTGTATATGTAGACTTATTAAAGTTGCATTTTATTCAAGACTTACATTTATATTAACTCTATTTTCCTAATAAATTTGCAGATTAAGTTAAAAATATGGTGCAGAAGTTATATGTCTTCAAATCGCTCTACGATAAATATCAATTTCCTGTGTATGACAGGGTGGGATAGCAGGATCCCATCAATTTAACAACCTGCATTCGATGCTGCCAGGAAAGGTGGGATATCTTTGATCCCACCCGGGATTTCAGGCGGGATTCCGGGTGGGATTGGCGGGATTTTTACAAATCCCAGGTGGGATGGTTTCTTGGACCCCACCCAGGATTTCAGGTGGGATCCCAGGTGGGATTGGTGGGATCCTACCTGGGATCCCTCACGGGACGTTCCATAATCCCGGGCGGGATCCCAGGAGGGATCCCGCCTATTTCTGGCGGGATCCCACCTGGGATTAACCTGGGATCCCAGGTGGGATTGGCGGGATCCCGCCTCACATTTTTACCTGGGTAAGGCTACTAGGGTGAGTAGGTTGACTAGGGTGACTGGGGTGACCAGGATGACTTGGTTTACTAGTGTGACTAGGGTGACTAGGGTGACTGGGGTGACTTGGGTGACTAGGGTGACTGGGGTGACTTGGGTGACTAGGGTGACTAGGGTGACTAGGTTGACTAGGGTTACTAGGGTGTCTAGGTTGACTGAGATGACTGGTAGTACTAGGGTGACTAGGATCACTAGGATGCCTTGGATGACTATGATGATGGGGTTGAGAGGTTGAGGTGACTAGACTGGAATGAAAGGAATGACCAGGACGAGTGGGATGTATATGAAGGCTAAAATGACTGAGTCGACTTGGATATTTTTTCAATCTGTGCTTTTCAATAATTTTAACTTAGATGTCTGGATGACTGGGATGGATGCAATGACTAGGGTGACTACAATAACTATGATGACTAGGATGATAATACTAGTAGGATGACTAAGTGAAGTGAGGTGAAGGGATGCCTTTATTCAAAAAGGGTAAACAGGTGACAGTTATGATCTAAACTGATAAACTTGTGGCCCTTTATAAACATAAAATCAACGCTGATAAACCATCCAAGGCAGCTATTTTTGATTTGAGATTTCTCGCCATAATTCAAATATGACACCACTTTAAGGCCCAAACATTCTTATGATAATTTTTTTTAACGCTGATATTTCCCATTAATACCCCGAGTATTAACTTTGCACAGTTGATTGTAAACTTGGAAAATGATATTATGGAATTGGATTTTGCTGGTAAATTTAACAACATGACCTCATAATGACATCAAATGACATCATTGTGTCAATCAAGTTATACCTAGATGTTGGAAATAAATAGTACAAAATAACAGCACAGTTCGTTCCAATTTCTAATCATCCTCATGCTAAAAGTCCGGCCTCCTTCTGTGTTTTTCTTAAAAAAAGGACAACGAAAATTTAATTTTAAAAAAACAAGTGGATCTGTTATGAATCCGTAGTTACTAAAACATGGAACAACCTAAAACCACCTAAAACCACCTAAAACCATCTACAACCACCTAAAACCACCTCAAAAAAATCAACAACCACCTACAACCATCTACAACCACCTCAAAAACATCTACAACCACTCGCAAACAATCTAAAACCATCTAAGACAAGGTATGAATGTCTGAAATAAGGCAAGACAACAACATGTCACGAACATGAAATACGAGAATCGAACAAAACATCCACCTGCCCCTAAAATCTTACTCTCCCTGGTCCCTTGTATCATCAACCATTGGCTTAAGTCACGAAATGAAATGCGAGATCATGGTAAGTATATTAAAAGACTTAAAGAACTTTACAAAATGAACTATCAAGTCACAAAAAATAATAAAATAAAATAACAAACTCGTAGTTGAAAGACTGACTTGATTTGGCTTTTTCTACCCTGGGTACCAGTGAGTAGCCTGCGAAGCGCCAGACGCATTTCTGGTCGTCGCTTCTCGGAGGGAGAGAAGCGACGACCGGAAATGCGTCTGCCGCTTCGCAGGCTAACCAGTGAGACGTTTTGGTTCACGTTTCATTTGTTTACGCAATGGCACAAGGTAGGGTTTCCCTCTCTCTCGGAGTCTGCTTCACTGCTGTTTTGTTCTAAGGTGGCAGATTACATTCCTAAGAACAAGTTAATTTTTTTAGCATCTCATCCGCCAAACATGTTCGTACATTCCAGGTGACTCCTTTAGATGAACCCTAGTGTCTTTCACACCCGTTTCCTGTGTCATCACGCAAGGCTAAACTCCCTTGCGTCATGACACAGGAAACGGAGACTAGTAGGTGTAATCATTGTTAAAAATGTTATTTAAAAAAATCTATAATGCAATGGATTCAGAAGAAAACAAGTTAAGACGAGCCGAAATTAATAAAAATGGGTTGAAAAATTTTAATAGTGAATGATTGTATTTAAAGTAATTGACCTGGATTTTTATATACCTTTATTATGTTTTGGAACTCAACTTTCACCCCGGCCCTCTTCTTGGGAGTGATGGGATATGCGCGCTTCTTATTTTCGCTTTGCTCATTGTAAATACGTCCCCACTGTACTATCTGAGAGCCTGGCACAGGCTAGAGTAGCTGGAACTTTACGAGCTAGAACGGAACGAAAAATTTGGATCACATATTCCGGTCTTCCCTCCCCGCCAAGGGACATTACTGGTAAGAACGTTTTGATTCATTTTGCTGAAAAGAATTATCAAATATCATTATATAATGTTTTCTAATTCTTGCAACTGTAAATGGGTTAATAGCTGTATAAAATCAGGCTCTACAAGTGAGACACGTTCACACTAGACTAAAGGATTCTGCGGGACTACATACATTTGTTTGAAACT